GAGGACCTCCTCAGCACCCTAGAAAAATGGGAGGAGAAGCTTTCCTCCACCCCCTTGGATAATACCGTGTACTGCAACTTGCAACGAGCGAGGGACCGACTACAAGAACATCTGGAAGCCCAAGTGGAGGCGTGGAGGATTCAAGCTAAAATTAAGCGGACTCACACGGATGGGACCATGGCAAAATCCTTCTTCCAAAAAGCAAAGGTGAGAGCAAGACAAGCCGTCGTCGTCTCGCTCAAACACCCGCTCCACGAGGATAGCCCGGAAGCCACCAACCTGTACCTGGTGACCGAATATGCTGCAAAATATTACCAGGATCTGTTCACTTCCAAGACAGCTTTGAGGCCAGCGGACAGTGTCGCAAACGCGAGGCAACAACTTATGCAGAGCCTCGAATCGGTCCTCTCGTCGGAGCACCGAGAAACACTTGAACAACCCCTAGACCAGGCTGAAATCTACAATGCCCTCCAGCAAATGGATGACGACAAAACGCCCGGTTTAGACTCGTTCCCGAAAGAATTCTGGCTCGCCTTCTGTGACACATTTGAAACAGACCTTTTGGATTATGTAAATGTTGTCCAGACTGATGGCACCTTTGGGGGCCTTCTCAACCAAGGGGTCACCATCCTCCTTTATAACAAAGGCCTCCAAGAACGAAGTAAGAAATTACAGACCCATAACTCTACTACCGGTCCTCATTCACCCTGACCAATCCGGGTTCATACCCGAAAGGATTATACAAGATAATACAATAAAAAAATTCCCACAAGAAATGAAAGTTCAAAAAATATTTGATTAAAAAAAAAATCTTCATATTTAAAAATTATCATTCCAATGTTCGTCCACTTTTAAAATTTTTAGTTTCATTTGATAAGTTCCCGTTTAAAAATGAGTTTTTCCTTCCAACTATAGCTATTTGTTGAAGATGGAATGAAAGTGTGGACGAGTTTATGAAATGTCTTAATTAAACTTTCATTCTATCACAACGAATACCTTCTAATTTAAATTGGATTAACCTATTTATGATTGATAATCCTTATATAAAATGACAGTCTAATTAAAATATTTCATAAACTCATCCAGACTTCCATTCCATCTCTAACATGCAGTCCAAATAAGAAAGGATACCTCATTCTTGGAAGGAAAGTTTTCAAGTAAGACTGGAAATTTTAAAAGTGGAATGACATTTTTTAAGATGGAATGAAAATTTGAAATATAGAATGCAATTTTACTATAGAATTATTATTTAATTCTGGGAAATTTTTCTGTTGTATCCTTCTGGTGAACGAGACGATAAAATACGCGAGGCAGAGAAAAAAGGAAGCGGCGGTCCTTTTTATCGATTTTGAGAAATCCTACGACCATGTGGACTGGGTCTTCCTTAACCTGTGCATGCAAAAAATGAATTTTGGACCTGCTTTTAGGAGATGGGTCGATACCCTTCACAAAACGGCGACGACGAATATCATTGTGAGCAGCCGCCTATCAAACCCATTTCCGCTTCAGCGATCAGTCAGACAAGGTGACCCCATTGCCCCGTTGTTGTTTGTTATTGTAATGGAGGCACTTGCCACGGCCATTAGAGCCAACCCGAACATAGAAAAGATAGACGTACTTGAAATTCCCCACAGTCGCATCCCAGTCACATCACTGTTCGCTAATGACCTGACTGTGCTGATCAAAGTCAACCCTTCCTCTCTGCAGGCACTAGTCACCACCATACAAACATTCTCAATAGCATCCGATATGGCGGTGAACTGGGGGTCCAAAACAGAGGGGTGGTGGCTTCACCTCAAGACCTCGCCCCCCCCCCCGACCCGCCAATAACATGGAAACTGAGGCAGGAGGCCATACGGATACTAGGAGTGCGGCTTACAGCGCTGGGTCCCCAGCCCGACCACGGAGCCTCTCTGGTGGAGGAGGCCCTCAGGAGAATGGCAAGGTGGAGGGGACTACATACCTCGATAGTGGGAAGGGCGTTAGCCCTCAATACCGCGATCTTCTCTGCTATGTGGTATAAGGCAGCATGCTGGCCGATCCCACCCAAGCAGCTTCGGAGGTTGAGAAGGGCGGCAGCATCATATGTCTGGAAAAACGACCATGAGGATCCCACATTCCGGTCCAAAGTGGCGTGGGACAGCATTGCCCAACCAAGGTCGAAAGGGGGGCTGGTGATCTTGGAACCACAAGACCAACTAAAAGCACTATCTTTCAAAATCATCACCCGCCTGTTGATGGGAAACGACGTTTTGTGGGCCCCTTACGCTCACATCATGATTGCAAACCTTGCTCCCGCCTCTACTCCGAAAAGGCAAGTTCACCCGCTGCAATGGCTCACCGACCCGGCATGGCCGATCCCTGGACCCAATGCATCAACTGCTGTCCCTCCCGAACAGGTCCAAACAAGAAGGGACACACTCAACGACCCGCTGTGGCCCAACATGGTGAAATTGTGGAGAGAGATGGGGCCTCAACGCATGCCCCCCCCCCTGCGCTGGCACGAGATAGTAAGGCAACCGCTGTTCGGTAACCCTCCCATATGCGATGAGCAAGGGAAGCCATTCCAGCTGTCGAATCGATCACATTGGAGACAGTGGGTAGCCAAATGGGTCTTTACTGTGGGGGATATTTGGGACTTCCAACGGGGAGCGTGGAAAACTGTTGACCAAATGAAGGACCAACTAAGATATGTCAGGCAGAGACAACATAACATGGACCGCCTCTGCGAGGCCATACCTCTTGCATGGATCCTCCCACTGAGAAATGGCCCCACGATAGAACAGGGGGACTGGGTTGTTCAGTGCCCCCAGACTGGGCCCCCGAGTCTGATTAGCAAGGTGACAGAAGTTACGCCTCTGACAGCCCAATTACATGCATACGACATTACTTCCCCGGGTGCTGTGTGCTCTGCGCTGCGAAGAAATGAGGAGCAGGACACAGTCCAGAACTGGGCAAGCCTGGCTAGGATACGGGTGTTTGAAGAGACAGACCAATCCCGCTTTGTGTTTCAG